CAAGCTAACATTCCATATAATGATAATTATCAGTTTTTCAAAATAAAACCATTGAAATGTGAATTGAATTTTTGACTATTACATTAATAGATCTTCAAAAACATTCCTGTTATAGTCTATCGATAGTCAAATGAGACAGTAAAAAAATAATATTCCTTTGGCTGTCGGCGTTTTCTTTATGAAGCACCGGCGGAGTAAGGGAAATTTATTAAAACAGTTCTATATAAAATAAAACATGAGGCACAATACAACTCAAATAGGAATCAAACTTATAAAAACTATCTACTGCACTGTCTTTCCAGAGGAAACTGATTCGCAAACGGCGGCCGCTACAAAGAAATATGCCGCCAAAGAAGCCACCTCTTCAAAGAAATATGCCGCTAAAAATTCTAACCAATAAGATATTCCTGGAGTCAAGGTTGACTGTATAAAACAACCAATAAGATGCGTTGTTCGCAAGTGAATTCGCATCCAATGTATACGGGCACGCTCAATATATTTTTCCTAATAATAGTATAATAATTTTAACGGGTAATACGATAATTTGAGGAGACCCCAATTTTTGCCTTGTCTCATTTGAGAAACATCTTGAGGCTTAAACAGTTTAGGCCTGTTTATTTGCTGCTTTGGAATTTTTATCTGAAAAAAATGAGTTTAAAAAAATATAGTTTTAATTTAATTATTAAATAATGTTTTATTTATTCAATCAAAAATTTTCACATCAAATGTAGCTTTGTGGGGTATCACTGAAAAGCATTTTTTAAGAGCTTTCAGATAAGGTATTACCAGTAGGGGGTTGCTATGTAAGAATATTTAGTTGGGGTGGCTGGGGTTGAGCTAGTAAGTAAAAACAGGTTGGTTATTACATCATTTTAGTTCCCCCTCCCTAGTATAGAAATTTTTACAATGTTTTATAGGGTCCTTAGAAAAGACCAAATTCTGGACATATTAACAAGACATACCTAAGGCAAAAATATTAAAGCTGTACGTTTGAGATGGATTCTCAACAGTAGCAGATTTGGTACCGAAACGTCAGCGGGAAAAGTCCAGAATTCATCCAAGGCTAATAAAGTATTATTTTATTAAAATAAAATAGAACTCGAAGCAAAGAGTATTTTCCCATTAAATAATTGATAGCCGAGATAAACTCTAATAAGAGAACGGTAGTAATAATATTCTTTGCAAGATCAAAAAATTCTGCTGGAAATTTCAATTGAGGTGTAAGTCACAAAAAATGCAAGGTAATATCACTATTATTTATAATCATTTGAAAAAACTTTCAACGCAGACAAGAAAATAAAAGAAAATCGATCCACGCAACTGTCATTTTGGGATTAAAGCCAAATCCGAATAAACTTACCGACATTCGAAGGACAAGATGTCAAGTACCCAAAGCGTTCATCAGTAGAAAACTCGACCCATTCTTGGAGAGTTTCAAGAGCCGTTATCAACCTTTTGAAGACTGCTCCTACATTTCCTCCTGGTTGCTTGCTCACTAGAATGATATGATCTTCCTCACCAATATAAGCCATGAAGGTTTTTATAGGGTTATAGTAAAGCCCTCTACCGCTTGGCCAATAGCGGTTACCGTCTGCAGATCCTATGACACGTTTGCCATCCTTGAAGTAATTCTCAGCGATGAATTTGTATCGGGTGTTTTCTGGTATATCTGAAAATCATAATGAGTAAGTTTATTCTCAACATAATGTTCTGGTAGATTCCAGCATGAGAACGTATTAAAAAATGCATTGGCCTAACTGACTTTCTTTTATTGGCTGTTATTAACCTACCAGAACGAAAAAAAACATTTTTTACCTCCCAAAGGATAGTAAGTCCCAGACAATTCTCCAGAAAGTTGCCCTAAAGCAATACACAACTTGGCTTCAATTTCTCTAAAGTTGGTTGCAGTCATAAGCGGACTAAATGGATAGCCTCTCAGGTTCCTGAAGCACGTTACTCCTGTGGATACAACATGTTCTCCCTTGGGGTCCACATTTCTAAAATCAGGGATAAAGCCCCAATTGTCAATTCCCGGTTGTGGAGTATCTTTTTCTATTTTGTGATATGCTTCAATAATAGGCACAAATAGGTCTGCATAAACTCTGTAACAGTCAGGGTCCACTGCAGTCAGTCCAATTTCCAACTCAAGATTGTTTACACCTAGAAATGGATGATTCATGTGTGAAACATATTGTTTATTTAGTTTTAAAAAAGGGCTAACAAGGTTATGGCTGATATTTTTGTTTACATTGATAAATAAATCATAATTCACAATATTGGAAACATAAGCTTTTACTGTATTCCTTTTATACATCGAGTTACACCAAACGAGCTCCTCGGAGTCATTCCAAAACACACAGATTTTATCATCATTTTTTAATAATTAACATTACCCTCATTACCTGAAAGGGCTTTTTGCACCCCCCGCAAATTTGGGGCATCAGGGGAAAGGGAGACGCACTATGAGCGACTCGAGTGCTTTGCGCACTTTTAAAAGGAACGTTCAAGCCTTTGACATTGAGCAGCTCCGAGTTACTCAACGGGTGAAAGGACTACAGTATTTGTCAATAGAAATTTGATTTTTTGTATTTTTTGATTTGATTTTTATCGAAAAATGTTTTCAGATTCAGAGTTTCCTATATTTTGCAAGTTCAAGATGCAAGTATAACTATTCTGTATAGGTAAATAACTATAAATTAAGTTTGGCCGGTCACTCAAGTATAGCCATTCATCCTTCTCGAGAGGTTATTTTTTTGCTATTTGCTTTCTTCTACCTATTCTGTCGCCATTTATAGAAATACTGACATGGCCTTTAGTTAGTTTGTACAGATCTGAGCCAGAATTCCGAACCCACAATTCAGATAATATCGTCTATCGACAAGCCAAATAAAATACAGCAAAAGTACCTACATATCTGACGATAGACGATACTATCAAATCGTGGGTTTGGAATCGAGGCTCTGATCGGGGATCTAATACCTTCAACTATGAAATGAAATGAAACATATCTTTATTAAATAGGTTGGTATACCTAATATACACAAAAAATATAATATAAGATAAAATGCCTATTGGACATACAAGTAACTATCTACAAAATATAAATAAGTAGAAACCTCACAAGGATACCAGCACATTACTCTAATTCACCCAATCACATCAAGATGGTAAATGCAATAGTAGATTAATTAATCTTTAGCCTGAATGTAATTCCTCAGTCCGTCTTTGAAATGTTGAACTGAGGGAAGACCCTTGATATCATTCGGAAGACTGTTAAATTCCTGAAAGCCCTTAAAAAACAATGAGTTCATTGTACTCTTAAAATTCGTTCTCGGAATAAAGAGATGATCATTATTTCTTGTAGGGTAATCATGGATATCCCTATTAAAAACAACAAACTGTTCAAAATAAGGTGGTGCTAACTTATTTATAAGTTTGTATACAAATATCATAGTATATACAGGACTCAAACAATAAACTAAAATCATTCTTAACTGAAGCACATCCTAAATATGAACAGGATATCCTGGAAAAGAACAATAAACATTTCTACTCCTACATAAAGGAAAATCTAAGTAGCCAGCGTCATGATCTTGTGATAAAGGATTCAAAAGACCAACAGATATTGGGGGACCCAAAAAACACTGCAGATATCTTTGCAAGTCAGTTTGAATCATTATCCGACTTTCCTTCGTTGCTGCAACAAACACGAAACAAAGACCAATTAAAAAACATAGTCATAACCACAGAAGCGGTCACCGAAGCTTTAAAAGACCTGAAAACTCACTCCAGTTCAGAACCAGATGGAATACCTGCAGTATTTCTGAAAAATTGTGCACCATCCATAACACCACTTATAAAATCACTATTTAACAGTTTCCTTGCAGAGGGTATTCTACCAGAAATATGGACCCAAGCAATTGTAATACCAATTTACAAAAGCGGCGACAAGTATAATCCGGCTACCTTTAGACCAATTACCCTGACATGCACACTGTGTAAGTTATTGGAAAAAATTATTGTCAAAGAAATGACCATGTTCCTCCTAGACACACATATTATACCATCCACACACCACGGCTTTCGACCAAGTAGATCTACTACCACAAATCTACTAAATTGCTTTAACGCATGGACTAAAGAAATTGATGAGGGGAACCCAGTGGAAATTCTATACTTGGATTTCCAAAAAGCATTTGATACTGTTCCTCATGAAATGCTGTTATACAAACTGGATCACTGCGGAATCCGAGACCTCTACCGACAGTGGAGCAAGAACTTTCTCAAAGACAGACATTTCCAAGTAAGAGCAAATGGAACCTACTCAGACCCCACAGAGTCACAAGTGGAGTAGGTACCACAAGGATCGGTCATAGCTTCTATTTTCTTTTTGATTTACATAATGCCACAGTGCATTATTTGTAACTTCTCATACATAAGACCAAAACCCAGACAATTGAAAACATGGCTAACCTGTTCCTTTTGCTAAACTATATTACAAACTTTCCACATTCCTCTATTGCGTTGTCCTTGCTTATGCGTTTTCCTGTAATTGTTGTCTCTATTTGCCTGAATTGAACATAATCCTCATTGTCTACGACTTTTCATCTGCCCATTGTTTCATTATAACTTTTGCTAGTACGTGCATGTCAATTTAGAATAGTAAGAGTGTATCAATTTGTAGCTTTTTCAAAAATCTAATTTATTGGGACTTCTGCATAAAAATCCTAAGAGATTCAACAGGTTTGTATTATTTGTGAGTTTATCATTGTTGAACAAACGACCTCTATAGATTTTTTTTGTTTCCAAGTACTGTTTTTCAGTAAACTATAGCTATTTTTGGGTTAGAAAAAAGGACGGTTCTAGAAGGGTTCAAAACAATTGCACAGTTTAGTATTGAAATTTGTATGAGGCTGTGGCTGAGCCGTTGTCATTTTGTTGATTAATGAACTGTGCAATTGCTTTTTTATTTATTTTTTTTAAATTTATTTTGAACCCTTCTAGAACTGTCCTTTTTTCGAACCTGAAAATAGATAAGATTATTAGTTTCCACAGGCCCGGCAAGAGGAAGAGGCACACGTTATTACTTTTTTTTACCGGAGCTTGACACGGCATCTTGGCGGCCCTGCGGTTCCATGGCAATCAGAAAGTATTGTAAATTGTAAATTTTTTATCGACTTACCAGGATCAATGCAATCCTGCAGCGTGGCCCCGAATTTAGAAGTCTTCATCTTCAGTTTGTCCACTATTTCCCTGGTGAAGAACTTCTTTAACAACGACTTCGACTGTGATTCCACCAGTCTCTTAAGTGCAGACTCCAAGCATTCCAGAATAGCCTCCGTAGCTTCCTTTGAAGCGCCCCAATGGGTTTTCAGGGGTTTAGGTTCCGGTTTGGGTTTAGGTTCGGGTTTAGGTTCAGGTTCAGACATGATTTTCACTAGAATATATGAATTTTACTAGGAAAAAATATATAAAATTGCAAAAAAATTTGAAATGTCTAAAATATTTGCTTCATTAAATAAAGACATGACAACCTGTTGCTATGACGATGGTTGCGTTCAAAAACGTAGTGTGTGGTATAAAAATCTCACACTTCCGCCATTTGGAAAGGCGGTGTATGGATAAAAATCACACGACGGTTTATCTTACTATCAGAGCTGGATAATGCCTGAAAATATTTTGGATACAACCATAATTGATGCCAAAATGCATTATCTTTTCGTGCCTTTACCACTACGTTGATGTTCCGCCATTTTGATTTTGTAAAACGCAATTATCACAATAAACCACACATACACCTTTTATTGAAATAAATAAATATATTCCAAATTGTTATTTATGAAAATTAAATGCATACATACAGCATAATCAATTAATTTAGTTTCTAAACTTACCAAATGGACGAATATGACCCTGAACTGTTTAAGCAAACCACAAACCACTCGAGTCGTTTACCGTTTGTGAACGAGAAGCAAGAAACCGGAAACGGAAACCCCTTCCTATGACTTATGGCGTTTCCGGTTGGTAAAATTAGGCGGGTATTATGAAATTATTTTTTAAAAAATCACTGAAAGTTAACTCCTGGAATGACTCTCATATTCATTCCAGAGACCGGAATATCTATATTTATATAGACGATGACGATACTATCGAATCGTGGGTTCGGAATCCGGGCTAAATTTTACCTTTTAGTTATTTTTGAAAATAGGTTTATATTACCCGCCCTTATAGTGCAAGGTAAATGTATTTCTATCTGTTTAACAAGCGGAGAGAAAGAGATGGATATACACTCAGTGCGCAATAAATCTACCCTTTCTCTTTTTATTTACAGTGACCCAATAAACAGTGGCGACAATTGCCGTCCTATTTATGGTTGGTTCTTTAAAATCCTATATTCATATTGAAAATGAGTAAGAATATGGCGGTGGGACCTCTATTGTCGCCACCAATGAATTCGCCACTGTATGAAATAGTTTATTGAGTCACTGTATTTTCATTATCTATTCTAGAGCACGTTCAACTTTGTGGCTCAATTGCTCAAAAACTAATCAAGCTATCAAACTCAATTTTGCACGGATTTATAGAGAATTTAATGCACTTTCCAATGGTATATAATTTAATTTGCTCAAAATTTACCAAAGATATGGGCAATTATTTGTGTCCATGTCAAGATTTTGAAAATTTTCCAGACCCAAAAATGGGATTTTCTTTTTATTTTTGTTTCTGCTTAAAATGGCCATTTGGAATTGATGTCAGGGTTATTTCCACTAATTTGACCCGCTCTATCGATTAATAAAATCAAAATTGACCAAAACTGGAAAATAAAAAAATCGAGTTTTTCATTAAGGGTACCTACCCCCTTTGAATTCTGATTTTAAAATATTCAAACCCCAATTGCTCGGTAACCGTTGAGCAAATTGCATTAAAATTTTCAGCATTTGTAGCTCTTATTAAGCTCCGAATGGCCTGTAATTAACAATATTCCCAGATTTTATAGTTTTTGAGCAAATTGAGTTTGAAGTTTTTGGCAAAATTTGGACTAAACGTCATTACTTTGAGGCTCAATTGCTCGAAAACTATTTGAGCTATCAAACTTAATTTTGCAGGGATTTATAGAGAATTTGATGCTCTTTCCAACAGTATATAATTTAATTTAATTTGCTCAAAATTTACCAAAGATATGGGCAATTGCTCATGACCATGTCAAGATTTCAAAAATTTTCCAGAGCCAAAAATGGGATTTTCTTTTTATTTTTGTTTCTGCTTAAAATTACCATTTGGAATTGATGTCAGGGTTATTTCCCACTAATTTTGACCCGCTCTATTGATTAATATACCATTACGAAGTGTATGAGAACAGTCATGTAAAGTCTGAAACCCGCATATATACGAATGTTATATCTGTGTCTAAATACACGCTGACATGTTTGCAAAAAAGACATCTTATGAGTATTCTCAAAATACGTTTCTGTTTAACAAGAATATCTTGAGCCGTAGAGTTAGATGGCAAAAAATTATGCTATCCTAGCAGTACCTACTTTTAAAGTTGGCATCATAATATACAGTACCTATATTCTTTTAGATGAATTATCCGAATGCAGTATTCCTATTTTACTTAAATTGGTTCTGAACAGATATGCCTATTTTTTTCTTTATTTAGACATAATCTGTTTTCTTCAAACCAATTTTCCGTTAATTTGAAAGCATTTCCTGCGTTTTTAACAGATTTGCAATTTGTGTAATACTGAGATTTGGGTGTTGTTACCTACCTATCTGAAAATTCTCAAAATAAAGGTACTTAGAAAAAAAAAACGCAATTATGGAAGAAACCAGATATCAAGTTTATTTTTGAAAAACTCCCAATGTCAGAATGGCAGAAAATATAAACAGGAACACTTGAAAAGCAGATGTAAAACACAAAGAATGCCATGGAAAAACTCATTTGAGTCTCTAATAAAATCACTAGGAGAATGTTGAATGCATTGATTTGATTGATTTCTTTTTTCATCAAGCATCACTTATTCAGTAGTTTGTAGGTATCTATGTCTAATGTAGTTTTTCTATTTTTCAGTAGTCACCTGAAAACCAAACCTTGTGAATTATGAACAGCCTTAAAAGTATGGCGGTTAATTTACATCACTTCTGCAAGTTCTTCATTCTGTAGACCCACTGCAGTATTATCGGTAACAGGATTAGTTTAAAATATGAAGGCATTGTATAATATGGCTTACATTCTGAACAGACCATTTCTATTTTGCCAGTGATAGCTAGTCCATTCAAAAGATTATCAGGAATAAATTTCTAGATTTAAATAATTTACTTAATAATACCTATGCCTATGTCTTTTTTGGGGCTATTATTCTACGAAAGTTTTTTCTCCCATTTGTGATTGGGTAGTTTTTTCCACCAGCCTCACTGATATTATGGTGCATTATCCATAATTAAATCAAGGTTCAGTTAGATTTGCTAGAGAATTTTTTTAAGTTTTCTTTCCAAATTAACTACCTACTTAAATATGACACAGTAAATTTCTGTGAAAATCTAAAAAGTAAGCACAAAATATACTGTATGTGGGTAATTTTTGATCGCGTGTTGTGATGTGTGTGATGATCTCTTTAAATTTTCAGAATTCATTGATTGATCTCTGAATTTATTGTCCGACTTGAAAATAAGACATTCTCCATAGAATTATCTTCGAAGCCAGCATGTAAAATAATGTATGAAACGACTTCACCAAGATGAAAGATCTTTCTCGCTAAACTGGTGGAGCATTTTTCCTTACAACAGTGATCTATTTCATTTCAAATTACATTTTACCCCTCTAGACCAATTTAGCGCTCATCACACACATAGAAAAAATGGCATTAGTGGTCTGGTGGAAAAATTCAATTTTTCTTTTTGCTATTTTGGCGAATGCGCAAATAATTATTGTTTTTCGGCTAAAATGTTTCGATTGTAAAAGTACAATGCGACTTTCATGGTTATTAAGAGAAAATGAATATAAAAACAATTATTGTTTCTTACATTTTTTTTGAGATCATTGGAAATTTTCCTAACTTGCCTCTGTTGCTAACCATTGGTTTTTCTTGGCTGCTATTGTCTTGTGCTGCTAATAATAGAAGTACCTCCAACTAATATATCGAAATCTAGGCCTTTTACGACATTAGAATCTAAGGGCCATATATTCTGCGTAATTTATAAAGCCTGGCTTAATGGAAACACTTGGATTTTTGTGTGACAAGGTTTTTCACTAAGCCAGGCTTTATGAACTACGGAGAATATGGCCCTTAGTTGTTCATTTTCGAAGGTCCTATCACAGTCTTGCTAAAGGTCCAAAATTGGCTAAGATTCCTCGGGTAGCTTATTCGCAAAGGGGTTTAAACGCACTGGCTAGATTTTACCCTTGATATATTATACGTATTCTTATTTTTTTTAGTCTTTTTGACTTCCAGGACTACATGTTCTATTATACCCTCATAATGACAAGCCAGAGGGTAGGTACCTACTGGTACTACACAATAGCCTCACACTGACTGTCATGAAAATTCAATCAAAAGTAGTCAATTAGAGTATTTGAAGTTGCAGAGATAAGAGTAGGATTCCCAATAAAAGTTCAAGATTCAGAGATACAAACAGACAATATTTACACAAATCTTCGCTAATAAAGGTAGCTGTACCCCTTCTGCGATAGATCCGCTCAAACAGGACATCAGATAATTTAAGAAATAAATACAGGATCCGTCTTTAACCAGTGTTCTGTTGTGCATAAAAATCCAGGTTTATTGTAGCGTTCAAGAATACAGTCAACTCGTCTACGAATCGACTGAATATTCAGCACTAAGAACAATCCTTCACATTCTGGGTATATCAGGTATATTTCAAATACCTACCTAATGGAAATGTAAAACCCTGTTAGCAGGAGGAATACGTATCATGCACATTTTGCCTTATATATATATATATTATGCTTCTTGCTCAACTTAGATGTGGATGCCAATATACAATTATTGTTGTTGTAGCAGGTCAAGAGTAATCTGGTTAAGGAAGGAAAACGAAATATAACAAAAATGTCAATATGATTAGGTTTGAACACAACCAACAGAGCTACGAAATTACAGAATTTCAGAAAAATAACAATATTGAAGACGGTTTGATTTTCACGGGTTTCAGATACCTCAGGGTCCTTATTCTTGAAACAGGGGAGCAGCGGCGTTCCCAGGAGAACGAGTGTTCTGTCTTTGTTACTTATATTATCATTTGCATATCATTGAGAAAGACGGAACACTCGTTCTCCTGGGAACATTGCTCTCCTGTTTCAAGAATAAGGACCCAGATGGTGAGAATAAGAAAAGCCACATTTAGAATACAAGATCATCGTATATGTGACAAGTTTCAATTTTGAAAAAGATTTCCTTGTAATAAAACAAGGCAATTATGTAATTTGTGTTTTAAGCAAATAATAAGTTCTAAGAACACTTTTCAAAATCAAAGACAGTTTGAATTTAATGATTTTGCACTATTTTTTCCCTTATTTCATAATTTGTATATGCTCATACTTATATTTGATTCTGCTTTTTTTTTATTACGGATGTACTAGCCCTATTTGGCATTTAAAGAGTTTCAGTATTTCTAACAAATTTATTATTTATTATTTTCCAATACATATTATGATATTTCATTTAACTCAACAAATAAAATTTCTGTTAAAATACTGCATATGATTACATTAGGTATTTTTAACAAACTTAATATTTTACAATATCAAGATATTGACATATTTCATTTAAATCAACACAGAAAATCTGGGTTAAAATACTATACTACTAAACTATTAAATACCAGAAACATCAGCCGATTGGCTTCAATGAGCATTATTGTTGCAAAACATCCACATTTGGTGCACTTTTTTCAGCCTCAATAATTTCAGTGATGCCAAGTGACATCATCTTCAAACTTTGATATTCAGTACGCCCGAAACCTTTGGAATTATGCAGCTCAATAACACCTTCCATGTTGGGATCTTCTACTTTTATCTTCATGTCATACTTGGCAGCTATCTCTTGGAGCTTAGGCATGTCAGTAGCGAGTTTGGGTACTCTGATTTCAAAATACGCTTGCATAGCTTGACCTAAATTAAAAAAAAAAACCTGGTATTAGAATTATTTCAATTTTCAATTTCAATTTCAATTTATTAAATAATCATGTAAACAAATTTATATATTTTTACATTCGTCATTCATCATACTAATTAAACAATTAAACAATTAAATAAAACACAGTGTCACAATAGATCAAAGTCAGCAGCAACATCCTTATCCAGAAATTCCCTATAATGATAAAGAATCCGGACTAAAAAATATTTATTAACTACAGACCTAAATCGCTCTTACAGAGACAGCAGCTCATTATAAAAGACAGGAGCAAAATGGAGTGTTGCATTCCTTGATGTTCCTAGTTTGAGAAAATGTTTACATTGTCTTTTGGGAAATATCTAAAGCCACTATTTTTTTATGTAAATTTCAATCAACTCACCCAAATTGGATGGGCAATGTGTCAAAAACCCAAATCGTTCATCGGTGGAAAATTCCATGGTATGATGAAAATGTTGAAGTGCCAATGTCAACCTTTTCAAGACTTCTCCCATATTTCCTCCTTGTTGCATGCTCATTATTGTGACATGATCATCCTCGCCAACATACAACATAAAGGTTTTTTCCTGATTATAGAAAACGCCTCTACCAGCTGGCCAAAATCGTCGCCTACCGGCCACAGCCGCTGCTCCCACTAAACGTTTGCCATTTTTGAAGTAGTTTTCAGCGATAAATTCGGTTTGGACATTTGCTGGTACACCTGAAAATCGTAATGTGTGTCTCTCTATTTCCATCATTTTTTTCTTGTGGATTTCAGCATGGAAACGTTTCAAAAAATTCATTAGCATATCCGACTAACTTTTATTGCCTGTTATTAACCTACCCTAACTAAAAATAATTTCTCACCTGACAAAGAATGATAAGTCCCCTGCAATTGTCCTTCGAATTGTAGAGGAAGGAGTCTTAGAGCCTCCGACAATTTAGTTTCAATTTCGTCATAGTCTGGCTTACTCATGAGACCACTGAATGGATACCCTTTGAGGTTCCTGTAACATTTTACTCCTGTGGATACAACGTATTCTCCCTGGGGATCCACATCTTTGAAGTCGGTTATCGGGCCCCAATTGTCGACGCCGGGTTGCATAGTTGTTGTTTCAATTTGATGGTATTGTTCTATAATGGGGACAAAAAGGTCTGCGAACACACTGTAACATTCAGCGTCCAGTGCATAGACTCCGATTTCCAGATCAAGATTGTCGACGCCTAAAATGATTAATATAGGTGTGAAACATTTTGTTTATTTATTTTTGACAAAGGGCTTCTTTCACAATATTAGAAACATATTTGACGGAAAATGTTTTCAGATTCAGACCTTTTTATATTTTGCAGGTATAAGATTGACTAATAATATGGTAATATAACTATTACAGGTATATCCAGTACACGTATAGAACATATTTTTATTAAAAATAAACTCAACCCGGCATTACACGCATCAAAAAACTTACGTCATTAAGTCATTACACGCGTATGGTCAAATCTACCGCACGTCTGAATGTTTGTATGAATTATTAGCTTTTTTCATAGAGATGATCCCAAAAGTATCCTGAATGCTTAGGTCCGCAGGTTTACTAATCAATAGAGACATCAAACTTTCCAATAATACCTGCGTAGGTCATGCCTTAGCGTTCAGGATACGTTTGGGATCGCCTCTGCGAAAAAATTGTAAAAGCCGCGCGGTAAAAGCACTATAACTCCTAGAATTCATAATAATATCAAAGGTACTCCCAATATCGGAAAATGCCAATATTGAACACAAATATTTTAGATACTAAGGTTCACGCGCCTGGTCAAAAGCATCGAGTATGAAAACAACGAACTATACTTCAACAAAAAACCAAAATATTTTTGGGCCAATGAGTAGTGGAAAACCTGTATAAGGCATTCTCGGATGGACAAAACTGCCACCCTTGTCATCATCATCATCAACCAGCCCTCTGCGTCCACTGTTGAACATAGGCCTCCCTAATCATTTTCCATTCCAATCGATTTTGTGCTGTTTGTATCCAGTTGCTATGGGTCCTCTTAATATCGTTCGACCAACGCGTAAGCGGTCTTCCTTTGCTTCAATTGTCCGTTCTAGGTCTCCACTTAAAAAGCCTCTTCTTCCATCGATCATTCCGCATCCGTGCAACGTGGCCAGCCCAGTTCCACTTAAGCTTCGCAATAGCTCCAACGACATCACTGACACCGGTTCTTTCGCGGAGATCCTTGTTTCTTATGTGGTTCTTCAAGGTCACACCAAGCATGGATCTCTCCATCTTCCTCTGTGTAACTCTGAGTTCCTTTGCTGTTGCTGTTGTTGGTGTTAGGGTTTCTGAGCCATATGTCATTACTGGTAGCACGCACTGATCGAAAACCCTTCTTTTTAGATTGTCGGGAATGTCACTCTTGAAAACATCTTTAAGTCTTCCAAAAGCTGCCCATGAGAGAGTGAGTCTTCTTTCTCTTTAGTTCGCATGTCTGGTTATCCGTTGAGATGCTGACGTCATGGCCAAGGTACACATATCTATCTACCATTTGAATTTCAGCTCTGTTAATCTTCAAGCCATAGCTGGGAACAAGGTTTGTCATGAATTTCGTTTTTGACATATTGATATTAAGACCGACTTTTCCACACACTTCTTGCAGGTCCTGCAACATCAGTCGCATTTCTTCTAGATTATCCGAGAATAGCATTATATCATCTGCAAAACATAAGTTGTTTAGGTTCTTGCCATCTATGTTTATACCTCTCTGACTCCAGTCCAATTGTTTGAATGCACTCTCTATGACTGTAATGAACAGTTTTGGTGACATCGTGTCGCCTTGCCGAACACCACGTTCAATAGTTATGAGGTTGGTATTTTCATGTAGTCCACGAATGTCATTACTAAAGCTCTGTTGTATTCCATTGTTTTTTCTATGAGTGTTTTGACACTTTGAAGGTGGTCGTTCGTTCCAAATCCACGACGAAAACCTGCCTGTGCCACAGGTTGGTAGAAATCCAATTTATTTTCCAGTCGGTTGGTTATAATTCGAGTAAACAGTTTGTAAAGGTGACTTAGGAGGCTTATTAGTCGGTAGTTCTCTAGCTCTGCTATATCTCCTTTTTTGCGAAGTAAATATGCTTTATTGTCCAAGAATACAAAAATCTTATTGACAAAGCTAACCTAACTTAGATTAAATTTTACAACTAAGTAAACCTAGAAGCCAGCAAGTCAACATTATCAATTTACAAAAATATCAATATCAATTTACAAAAATAATAAATACATTCATTCAACACAACATTTCTTGACATAGGTTTCAAAGACTAGTGGACACAACAACAACAAAAAAAAAAACTTTATTTAGTAGGTATGTCAGTCAAATTAAGATAAATAAATAAATAGGTAAAATATAAAACAATATCGAAATACACAATTGAAAAAATACACACAACATACATACACATACAACATACAAGCAGGATTACAATGGAAGTATGCCAATTTTTGGGGACTTAACATTGAATACACAGAGGTTAAAAGTTCTTTTATTTGTAGCAGTAGATGTTGGCCTCCTATTTTTATTGCGTCTGTAACTATGTCGTGTTCCCCTGGCACTTTATTATTTTTTGTGTTTTTTATTGCTAATTCTATTTCCTCTATGGTAATATCAGGAAGCTCTTCTGATCCTTAGTTGACAATGCCCCCCCTCGATATCAGGATTTTTTTCGTCATATTGACTTTTGTAAAGGAGTTAATAGAATTCCTCCACTATATTTAATATTTCCTTTCTATTGGTTGTAAGTTCCCCATCTTTGTTTCTCATTTTGCATAGTTCTTTTCTTCCATTTGTAAGTTTTCTTTGGAGTACCGTCATGCTTTTGTTATTCTCTATGGTTCGTTCAATTTCTCTCACTTTGTATCTCGTTGTATCTCTTATTGCTTTGGAGATTTGTCTGTTCATTTCCCTTAGCTCTTTCTCTGTGGTTGCTTCTTCAGTTCTTTTGTTTCTACTTTCTCGCATTAGTTCTTTAGTTTCTTCGCTGATCCTTTCGTCCTTTTTGGTTGCTGGGGAATGTTCATCTTGGCCTGTTGTCAGGGCCTTCACTATAGTATCGTTTAAGGTGTTTATCTTTTCCTCTTCATTCATGTTTATGTCATTTCAGGTTCTTTTAATAGGTCGCAAACATTATTGGAATTTATAAGTATCAATCGACGGATGCCAAGGTTTTTTATTTGACGCATTGACCATTTTGTGTCGCTCCTTTTTTAAATTTACCATACAGTGTAGGGTGACCATATTTTTTTTGTATGAATGCTGTAGGCATCTAAAATTTTGGGACAGGTGAGTGGAGTGGAGAAAGCACTAAATGCAAGTTTTGTTGACTTTATAGCTCGTTTTAGTACCACCTAACAGAAAAAAAAAATAATGGAAGACATAGCATATAAGGTCTGTTCACACAGAAATCACAAAAGAGTCAGAATGAATTTCATTGGTTGAAAACCTTAACGGTTGAAACCAAGGTTGTTTGAAAGAGGTAGGTTGGCTGATAACTTTTATGACGTCATCTAGATGCCTAAACATAATGCAAATCTCCATTAGATCTTCTTGATGACGTCATCTGTTTACCATTACCAGACAACCTATTAACTTTAGGAACCTTGAGTTGAAACTAGCTTTCTGACTGTTTCTGACTTTCTGACTATTTTCAACCAATGAAATTCGCGCTGACTGGTTTGTGATTGCTGCAGAAACAGACCTAATATGCTGTGTCTTCTTCTTAGCAGCGTGGAATAGAGAGAGATAGAAAAAGTAGTTAGCATTAAAAAGAATACTCTGGGAGATGATGGCGTAAATCACGTAAATCGCAAATATAGAAATATCGTTAGTTATTGACGGACAATTTTTCGTGATTTTTTTTTAAGAAAAACTTTAAATATGATCGGATCCGAATCGCTGTACGTTTGCTGTACAAAATTAAATGCTGGACAGACTTTGAAAATGCTGTACAATACAGCGAAATGCTGTACAATACAGCGAAATGCTGTACGTATGGTCACCCTAATAGAGTGGTCACTGCCAGTGATATAAATATATATATATTTGAGAAAAGTTTTTGAATTAATTTTCTCCGCTTTTCCATCCATAGTATATATATATATATAAATAAAGCAATTGAAACAAACATTAAAAATCGGATGTGGGACTTTCTTGATAAAAACAAAATAATGTCACCAAACCATATGGTTTTAGGGTGGGTTGTGGCACAGAGGATGCTCTATTTAAGTTACAGGATTGTATTTTTGAGAACTTTAACCAAAATAAAAAAACCCTGGCGATATTTTTATATTTAACAAAGGCTTTCGATACTGTGGCGCACCATACTCTACTCTACGTAACAAAACGTGAACAAAACGTCAAATTAAAATCTTTTTGCAGTAAGGAGAAGCTTGTCAAGTATGGTGTGCCACGGGCTAGTGTCTTGGGGCCACTTCTCTTTATCGGTATGAGTGATGTGACATTAGCCCAAATTATTTGTTATGCAGATGATACTGCTTTGCTAATCAGTGGTGATACCTGGGAAAACACTTATCAACAAGCGGAAGATGCTCTAAAGAGCATAAAATTGTGGTTGAATATAAATTCTCTAACCCTTAAAGTAGCAAATATGCTGTTTTGACTTTTGCAAGGGATAAAAGGGGACTTCTAAACAGGTTGGAATTAACAGTGCATTTACACTTATGTGATATTGATCAAACATGTAGATGTGAAATAAAGATTAAAAATCAGGAAAATACTAAATATTTAGAAATTTACATTGATCAGCATATGAAGTGGAATTTACATGTGGAGTATGTTGCCTCAAAATTAAGAAAACTCGTTTATAAGTTTTAGTATGAGCTGCGAGATATTTAGAATATCGAAGCTTTGAAAATGGTAATATCAGGCTTTCATGGAGTCAGTAATACGTTATGGTCTAATTTGTTGGGGAGCTGCCTGTAAAAGTATGTATTATAAATTCAGTAATAATTGCACAAAAATACATACTAAAAGTCATGCTTAAAAGAGGAAAACTATTTCCTTCTGACCTTTTATTTAAAAGTATGGACTTTTACTAACTGTTTGAAAAACATTATTAGGTTTGCACATTAAACAAATTTATTTCCATTTTTTGTTGATCATGATATTAAAACCAGAGCAATATCCAACTTAAATGTACTTTATGAAATTCA